TCTCGCTGCCTGGACAGTCACCCAAAGTTTCTCTGTACCGTTGGGGCATCCATCTTCAGCCTTCAGGCCCATGGTATCCAGCAGACATTTCCATAAAGCAGGAAAATTCAAAGTCAGTTCAGTCACTATCTGTTGTGTCCTGCAGAATGTCTCGCAGACTCTTTCATGAATCAGGAACCCCAAAAGATCATCTCACCTTAGGCAAGTTCAGTAGCCCTCTCTCTGTGGGTTCTCTGTGTCCAGTTTATGCAATAGTCCAGGCAAGAGCAGTTTCTTGCTCAAATGGCTATCAAACTCCATAAGGTGCCTCTTCGATGCCCATCTTCCTCTTGAAGTAGATTGGTGCTGCCAGGAGCAGAGTGTCTCATTGTCATGAAAAGTCCTAAGTTATTAAAACATTAAATGTCCTATTCTGTAATCTTTGAAAGACATGAAGAATGTCTATCTAAAATATATCTCTATATATCTAGAAAATCTAACTAACATGACTACAAGCTTTACTATTATCGATGATTATCCATTAATAACCTATATTTCTTAATTATACAGTACATATTTAAATGAACTACACAATCACAATACCTTAATCAAAATCAGAAACACTTATACATATAACAAAATTGACCTTAAGTCTCTATCAATAAAGGAAAATCTATACTAATGTAAATTATTCATATCTATATCATATCCCCCTTTAAATGTAAAAGAACATTTATAAACATTTTTTGGGAATATGGGCGCAGTTATTTCTCTCCAAACTGCTTCCTGCTGAATGGGGGCATCGTTAATTAGGTCTTTCATGGTATAACCTGTGTGCTAGTTTCATCTCAGTTGGCAGTTGAGCAAAGCAAGTTTTTGAAGGCGTGCACAGGAACCATTCAGGAGGACGCGGTCTATCATACCACATTGGGATGGAAGCAATCCACAGACTCTCATCCTCTGTGAAAACAAAATAAGAAACTCCTTTCCAAAGTATCATGTCCTTAGATCCAAATTTCAAAGTCAAGGCATCAAAATATCTATGTTGGATTAGTCCAGCAGCATTTATAAATAAATATCTTTTAGCAGCTGTTGCTTCTTCCTCAGCATTCAAACAATTCAAAGAGAGCATAATAGCATACAGTATCAAGATTCTCTGTGTATTTTCCATCTTTGTTTGTTTTATTTTAACCTCTATTTTGTTTATTTTTACTTTTAACTTTTTGCTTTTTGAGATAGGTTCTCTGTATCTTTGACCTGAAGTAACTCTGTAGACCAGGCTGTCCTTTAACTCTCAGAGATCTGCCTGTCTCTGCCTCCCAGGCATTGGGATTAAAGGCCTGTGCTACCACACCTTGAAGTCACAGAGGTCTATCTCCCTCAGCCTACCAAGTGTTGGGATTAAAGGTGTGTACCACACACAACTCCTCTCTTCCTTTTTTTTTGTTACTTTAAGAACTTTAAATTTTAGTCTGCATATATTTTTAACACACTTCAAACCATTTAGAAATTTTCTTTGTCTTTGAATTTCTCTTTACTGTATATCTCTCTTTTTCTGACCACACGAGCCTTTAAATTACTGAGCAATACGGGTAGGATTAAAGGTGTGGCTTTGCCAGCTAGATCCAGTCCATTCCTTAGCTTTCCAGCCTCATGGCTGAGGTACTGGCTGTAGGCATGTTTACTGCCACAACTCTATGGCATTTCAAGGTCCCTGCCAGCAAGCGAGATTCAGCAGCCTGTGCTTGCAAACCGCACGAACCACCTGCGTAAAAGAGTCAGAGTTTGCCCTGGCAGGACAGCCCAGAAAGCCGGCATTTTTAAATGGCACAGCTTTTTTCCTGCTACGGCTGAAAACCAAAAAGCATGTGTTCAGCTTTTCGTCAACACCATTTAAGTGTTTTGTGGCAGGACCTCTTAATGAGCTGCAGGGTTTTGCAGCTAAAGCTGAGTCAGGAAGCCTCTATTAAATGAGACGCTTGCTTGCCTCTAGCAAGCAGAGTAGATCCGAGAAATTGTCACTATCAAGAAAACATGCTTTACTCTTTCCCAAGCTTTTTCAGGCTTTCTGTGGATTCAGTTGTCCACGTGGGCGCCAATCTGTTGTAAATAGGGGTGGCGGGGCTGCGTTCCCAGCACCCCGGCTGCCTGCTTGGCTTATGCCCGAAATAACAACACACAAACTGTATTCATTTAAACACTGCTTGGCCCTTTAGCTCTAGCCATTACTGGCTAATTCTGATATCCGGATCAACCCATCTCTAATAATCTGTGAGCACCGGTCTTACCGGGAAGATTCTAGGTCGGAGCTTCATGGCGTGTGTCTGCCCGGGAGCGGGGCATGGCGTCTCTCTGAGGTGTCTACTCCCAAGAGGAGAGCTGTGAAGTCTGAGCTCACTTCCTCTTCCTCCCAGCGTTCTGTTCTGTTTACTCCTCCTACCTATCTTCTAACCAATAAAATGGGCCAAGGCAGTTCCTTTATTAGCCAATGACCTTCATCTATCACTGGGGGGGGGGGGTACTGAATACTGTGGGTACCACAATCTCCTCTCCTCCTTGACTGAAGCATCAGCTTCCCCAGAGGGTGTAGGTCGGGCTTGTTAGGAGTGGTAATCAATGGCTCTCATCTGACCTTCTGGGATATGCCTAGAGCTAAAAGGAGATGTCCAGGTCTGCTCTGTCCATCTGGCAATGTGGGTGGTTACTAAACAGCCAGCAGACCTGGCTTCTTGCCACAGGAGGGACAATGCATAAGCTCACCCAGAGCTTCTGAGAGCTTGGCCGAGTCTACACATGGGGCCCGGTCTTGCGGTCTTCATCCCTTCACAGGGGTCGGTCGGCACCAAGCTGACCTCCCTGCTTCTATTTCCTGGTGACTTCAGTTAGGCACAGCAGCTCAATATGGGAGAAGCATGGAGAACCGTGGGCATGTTTAGGAAAGAAAGGCAACTTGCCATTCCCAGGGATGAGCTAAGGAGAGGAGGGGTTGTTCTGGGGCTCACTGTGGTTGCTGTGTTTCCATGATTGCTGGGGGTAGAGGCCAGCCATCTGTGAGAGGGAGAGAGAGGCAGACTGGGCTGTGAGGAGAGTTCCTGAAAGCCAATGATGGGAGAAAGCACAGCTGCTGATGAAGATGGCAGGGGAGGTCCCCAACAAGTAAGATGTGGGGATCACGGAGGGACCCAGCAACAGCTGCAATACCCAAGAGGACGGGAGAAGCTCCAGTTATGGACCGGAAGCTCACACTCTCCCCGAGTCACAGTGAAGCCTGAGCCTCAGTGTGACGTGATTGGAAATGGGGCCTTGGGGAGCGCCACGGTTTAAGTGATTGATGTGGGGATCAGAGTCCTTGTGTGGAAGCACCAGACCTTTAGCCTCATGGCCGTTTGAGAACACAGCAAGAAAGCACTGCCTGCAAGCTAACGATGTCCTCACTACCCTACCCTGCTGCAGCCTCACCGTGAACATGCAGCCTCCAGCTTCATGAGAAATGCATTTCTACTGACTGAGCCGCTTGGTCTGCGGTGTTATGGCAACACAAGCTAACTAAGCCAGCGTGGCCACAGACACACGTGTGCAGTAGTGTCTGGCACAACCAGAGGACATAACCCAGAGATCCTTCATTTGGCAAATAATTAGGAAAAGGTGGCTGCTGGTCCTGGTGATGCAATGTCAGTACTTGGGAGGCAGAGGCAGGATGATCAGGAGTTCAAGGCCAGCCTTAGCTGTACAGTGGGGTGGGATGTAGACAGACTGAAGATCAGTGCAGGCCATTATTGAAGTACGTTTGCCAAAGTAGGAGAATAAACGTATTTTATTTAACAGTTGTTAGGTTGCCTTAAGACTTTAAATATGTAGGTGTACGGTGGGAGGCGTCCATTTGTTCTCTTCTTGGCCCTGCTAGCATCAGGGCTGGGCTTGTCTCAGCCTTACTCACTGGGCCCTAAGCTCCAGAAAGCCCCAGAGCACAGTGCCTGGCACACGAGGGCCCACAATAAATATTGACTGCAAGAAACCAAGGGGGAAATCGGAGTAAAAGGCTGGCATGGTATGAACGCTCAATAAATATTAGCTATTATTGTTTGTTGAGTTAGTGAGGGTGGGTGGAGCTAGGGGCTCAGATCCATAAACTGAGGTGGTGTGTGCATAGGGAGGGGGGAAGCTGACACATGCTCAACTCTTTGTGCCCGAGGCTGTGACCTTTCTCCAGTGGGCCACTCCCAGCCCTGCCTGGCAAGTGAGTACCTGGTAGGCACTCAGTCAGGGTGGTGCAGGCAGGGGCTGGTGGCTTCTATTTGTGCTGTTTTACTTCCCCCAGAACAGTGTGGTAGGTTCCCTGTTGCCTGAAGGGACCCCCCCCCCCCAGCCCATGCAGGGTGCTCCTGGCTGTTTGCTCTGCTCTGCCCATCCTCAGTGCTGCAGAGGGGGCGGGGAACCACTTCCTCCTCTAGGGGCTGGGTTTGCTGTGGCGAGAGCCTTTGCAGGGATTCAGGTCACCTTTGGAACCTGAAGTCGTTTGACTTCTGCTGCAAGCTCCAGTTCCCTGGAATCATGCATAGTGGGTGCAGGGTAAGCATGTGGTGGGCATGAGGAACATGGAGAGAACAGGGGTGGCCCAGGGAGAGAGCAACGTGGAGGAAAAGCCCGCATGTGGCCTGCAGTAGGGTGGCACAGGAGCATGAGGTTGAAGAAAGCAGTCAGTGGCCTGGGCTGGCGGCCAGCGTCAGTCCTCCCCTGGCATCAGGGACAGTGTCAGTAGCTGCTTCATGACTAGTGCAGGACCTACTGCATAGCACGGGACCTACAGAGTCTCCATCAAGGCCTGGCCAGATGCAGGCCTGTGGAAGCCAGAATGCCTTCATCCAATCCCTCCTCCCAACCGCGGCCCTAGGAATCACTCATCTGCCCCGACTCCCTGGAACATTCTCGCGTTTGTACAATAGGCGGCGCTGTAATCAAGAAAGGACCCTAAGGAACCCCAAATAGGGATACAGCAGGGAGAAATCACATTTCATGAACTGGGGTCATGAAGGGGGTCACCGTACCCTCTGAATCGAGGGGTGTAGAAGTCACAGTGCAGCGGGGTGGGAAGCGGAGAGCTTCAGAGGAGGTCCAGCCTCATGGCCTCCAGCCACCCAGGGTCCGCAGTCAGTGCTGTTGTTCCTTTGCAAGACTACAGCTCCCAGCGTTCCGCTGGACTCCAGTGCACGCAAGCGCAGGACACATTTCCCAGAAGCCTTCGCATTCCCTGTTAAAAAGCAAAGGCCGCCACGAGTTCCTCCCTTCTTTCCCCGCCTTTCCCATCGTGTTTGCACACCCCTTACCTGCCTGTTACCCCTCGCCCATTAAAGTACACCCACGTGGGACCGCTGCGTGTCTGTGTCTTCTTCCTCGCGTAACATCTTTGCCCTCTAACCCGCAGAATTAAGAACAACATTTTGGTGCCGTCGTCGTCAACTCGGAGACCTTTCCGTCCCGGTGCCTGAGGCTTTTGCCTCTGGGCTTCACCGGCACAAGGTCTGAACCAACCGCCTGTAACCACCTCCACCTGTTTACCACGGCCATCCACCACCGCCTGATCCGTGAGTTAACCTAAGTTGGCTTCCTTCCCCCCAGGACGCTCAGAGACTGTCCGGACGGCTTTCTTTGCCACATCTTGGGCAAGGTCGCCGACTTCCCTCCCCCTTCCCCCCGGCTTTTTGCCCTCGGCTAAAACCTGCCTCCGTCCGCACCTGGAAGCTTGGTGCTTCCGGCTTCTCCCTCTTCTTTTTTTTCTAATCTTTCTCTCTCTTCCTTCCGGCCCGCTCCGGTGCGATGACTTCCGGGCTGTACGGTCAGCCCCAAAAAGCTTAATTGTCTCCTCCCAGCCGGGGCTTTTTCCCTCCGTCGGTAGCTGAGTTCGGGCCAATTAAGATCTAACACGCCCCTCGAGTACTCGGACGCCTGTACTTGCTGGCTGCTGTGTTCGCGGTACCCCAGTACCTTTTTGCGGACAGGCTTGCGTTTTAGTCATGGGCTCTAAGTCTTCTAAGCCAATTCCCACATCCTCCCCTCTCGGACAGCTTCTGGAAGCTCTTGAGCCTCATACCCTCATCCCCTCCATAAAACTATCTAAGTTGACACGCCTCTGTTCCAAAACTTGGCCTAAGTACAATTTACAAGGTTCTATCCGCTGGCCTTCCCAAGGGTCATTTGACCCCGACACTCTGCGAGAGTTGGCCAATTTCTGTCACCGGTCAGCTAAATGGAAAGAATTAATGTACGTGATGGCCTTCTTTTACATGGCCCTGAAGACTGATCCTTCTACTTCTTCACACTGTTCACCTGCTCACATGTTTTTGGCAATGCCCTCCATCCAGGAACCCTCTGCTCCCGCCATGGGCTTGCAACCCTCCGCTCTGTCCATGGACCCCGCTGACAACCCCCCGCCCCCCGACCTCGTGGGATCACCCCTTCCTTCCCTGCTCAATCGGGGGCCACCTCCCCTATCCCTCCTCCTTCAAAGGTTTCTTTTAGGTACAAAAAGGACTCGCCTACACCTTCCCCCCATGCCTCTAAAGGCTCCATTCCTAGGTCTCCAGGAGTTCTGCATAAATATCCTTCTGGGTCGCCTTCCCACTCCTCTAAATCCCCCGAAAAATCTCATTCCCCCCGTCTCATATATCCCAGCCTTTCCGATCCAGCTTCACCCAACTTCTCCCGCAGCCGGACACGATCGCGCAGGCAGCTAACAATTTCTTCCCGTCACAGGAGGCGCAGGCTGTCCGAATCAACTTTGGAATCCTCCGAGTCACCTCCCCGCCCCACCGCGCCGCCTCGGTCTTCCAAAACCCCCTCAGGCCCTAACCCCACCCGCCGCCTTGCGCCTACCTTCACCCCTCACGCGCTCGCTCTCGCGCCGCCGCTGCCGCTGCAGCAGCAGACTCTGGCCCTGATCAACTCAAACCAGCTACCGTCCTGCCCTTGCGGGAGGTAGCTGGTGCTGAGGGGCTAATGAGGGTCCACGTCCCGTTTGCCTTATCGGAACTTTCACATATTTCTAAGCTACTAGGGTCATACACAGCTGACCCCACTAATTTTACAAAAGAGTTTCAATATTTAACCCAATCCTACAACCTAACTTACCATGATATTTATGTTTTTCTCTGTAACAACTTGCTTCCTGAGGTACGCCGATGGGTCTGGGAGCAGGCGAGACTGCACGCTGATGAAGTTCATCAGACTCAGCCTTCTCATCCCCCCCCCCCCCCCGCGCAGAGGCGGTGCCTGACCAGGAACCCCACTGGGATTACAACTTTCCCAGGGGCATTCTGGCCAGAGATCGATTCCTAACCTGCCTCCTTGTGGGATTAAAGAAGGCCGCTCTCAAACCAGTAAATTATTCCTAAACTCGCAGAAATTTTCCAAGACACTAAGGAAAATCCTTCAGCATTTCTTTTTTTTATTATTAAATTTTTTTTTATTGAGAAAAGGAGAAAAAAACATAAACAAAAAACAAGTTTCCACCTCCTCCCAGCCTCCCATTTCCCTCCCCCTCCTTCAGCATTTCTTGACCGCCTTACTAAAGCTATATTACAATTCACGAACATGGACCCAGAATCCACGGAGGGCAGACAGCTCCTGATGACCCACTTCGTCAACCAGTGCTACTCAGACATCAAGGCAAAGCTCAGACGTTTGGAGAAGGTTCCCCTAACCCCACAGGCACAGATCCTGGAGACGGCCTTCAAGATCTACCACGCGAGGAATGACAAGACCCGGAATCATTGCCACGTGATCACCGCACCCGCCAGGCCAGCCGAGGTGATGGACTCCACTACCCGCCCTCCTCGCATGGCTCCCCCGCCCCCCGGGGTGCGTGAACCGCCACGCCCATGCTTCAAGTGTGGTAAGACAGGTCACTAGGCAAAGGCATGCCCCCAATCCCCATCACAACCCAAGGGGCCCCTGCCCAAGGTGTCACAGGGAGGGTCATTGGTCCGCAGACTGTCCTCGTGCATTCGATGACGCAGGGGCAGCCGCCCCAGAGGACCCCCAGGTTGACCTATTGGGTCTGGCTCTGGAAGACTGAAGGTTCCCGGGCTCCTCCATCGACAACCCGACTGCTACGCCCATCTGCAACCAGGAGCCGCGTGTACTTCTTACAGTGTCGGGACACCTCATCTCTTTTCTCTTGGACATATTCGGTTCTAAGGGAATTTTGGGGGCCAACCTCCCCCTCAAGTTCCCCTATCATTGGGGTAGGGGGACAGCCTTATCTACCTCACCAAACTCCACCTCTCAATTGCATATTTAGAGGTATCTTTCTCACTCATTCATTCCTAGTTCTATCAACCTGTCCAGTCCCACTCTTGGGTAGAGATCTTCTGACCAAGCTGGGAGCCTCCATTTCTTTTGCGCCCCCCACCCGTTTCGTTTCAGATTCGTCGGTGACACAGCTGCTGCTTCTCCTGGCCCCACAATCCTCTGATACTAACATGCCTTTTCCTCTCCCAGCTTCCCAGGTGGACCCTCTCGTGTGGGACATCCAAAACCCAGTTGTTGCTAAACACCACCCTCCCCCCGTTGTTATTCAGTTAAAAAACCCTACTGGGTATATCACCCAAGCCCAGTACCCCCTTCCTTCCCAAAGCCTCAAAGGACTAAAACCTTATAATCTCTGATCTCTTGAGGAAGAGGCTGCTTCGCCCCACCTCATCCCCCTTTAACACTCCTATACTGGCTGTCAAAAAATCTAACGGAACTTATCGTTTGGTTCAGGACCTCTGGCTCATCAATTCTGCTGTTGTTCCTTTACACCCAGTGGTACCTAATCCTCTCACACTTCCGTCTAACATTCCTTCAGGGACCTCCCACTTCTCAGTCTTAGACCTAAAGGATGCATTTTTCTCTATTCCTCTCAGCCCTCAGTCTCAGAACATCTTTGCCTTCACCTGGACAGATCCTGATACTAATTTCTCCACACAACTAACCTGGACTGTCCTCCCTCAGGGATTCCGGGACAGCCCACACCTCTTTGGCCAGGCTCTGACCTCTGATCTGCTCTCACTGTCCCTCCTTAAATCAAAACTGGTACTCTATGTTGATGACATCCTGCTATGTAGCCCATCTTTGGAGACTAGCAGGACTGACACCGCCACCTTATTAAATTTTTTATCCAAAAAGGGCTACAGAGTCTCGCCTTCTAAGGCTCAATTGTCCACCACTCAGGTAACGTATTTGGGGTTAACCATAACCCCAACACAAAAAGCTATCACCCTGGACATAAAAAGACTAATTCAATCTCTTCCAGTTCCTTCCACCAAAGAAGAGGTTCTGTCATTCCTGGGAGTGGCCGGTTTCCTGCGATCCTGGATTCCCTCATTCTCTCTCCTCGCCTGCCCCCTATATGAAGCAGCTCTCGGCTCTCTGCATGAGCCCCTCCTTCACCCTATCACCAAACCTTTCCGGAGACTCCAACAGGCCCTTACCCAAGCCCCAGCTCTCCATCTTATGGATTTAACCCACCCTTTTTCTCTTTACGTCACAGAAAAAGAGGGCTATGCCCTGGGAGTCCTAGGCCATCAACTGGGACCTTCCTTCGCACCTGTAGCTTACCTGTCAAAGAAGATGGACCTCACCACTCGGGGCTGGGCACCCTGCATACGGGCTTTGTCAGCTGCTGAACTTCTTATTCGTGAGTCAAAAAAGCTAACCTTCGGAGCACCCACTACGGTTTTCTCTCATCATAACCTGTCTAACCTCTTAACTTACAAAGGCCTACAGACCCTACCCCCTTCTCGAGTTCTTTCTCTTCAGGTGGCGCTGGTGGAAGATACGAGTCTCACATTCCAGTGCTGCCCACCTCTCAACATTTTCAAATCTACCTCAACCTGGTGTTAATGATTCCCCATCCCATTCCTGCATTGAGGTCCTAGAGGATCTACTGCCCCACCCCTCACATATACAGGAGGGCAGTCTGTCCCAGGCTACTCACACCTGGTACACGGACGGCAGCTCCTTTCTATGTGACAGGACCCACAGAGCAGGTTATGCCATAGTGTCAGACACACAGATAGTCGAGGCAAAGGCACTCCCTGCTCATACTACTAACCAGCAGGCTGAGCTGATAGCCTTCACCCGTGCCTTTCAGTTAGCCACGGGACAATCTTTAAATGTCTACACAGATTCTAAATATGCTTTTCATATCCTGTTATCTCACACGGCCATCTGGAAGGAACGCGGGCTTCTCACAGCGAAGGGAGGGTCTATTACCAACTCAGAGCATATTATGGACTTACTAAGAGCCTCCTATCTCCCTAAAGCTATAGGAATTATTCACTGTCGGTCCCATCAGTCTGACAGTTCTATTGTTTCCAAGGGAAATAACCGGGCTGACAGAGCAGCTAAGACGGCAGCACTTAGCTCAGATCTGCCTTAGTTACCTCAGGGAGTACTTACAGCACAGCCCACAACCTCGCAGACACCTCCTACCATTCAACAGATCCTGTCCTACCTACACCAGCTTTTTCATCCCAATGAAAAAGCTCTGCTTCATTTTGTAAAAACACATATCAAACCCACGCCTGAGGACATCAGGTTTCTAAAAGCCACCACTGCCTCCTGTCAGATCTGCCAAAAGTCAGATCCCAGGACTAAATACTGTAGCTTCCCTTTCCCTACCCACCAAGCAAGGGGCTCCCTTCTGGGAACTGACTGGCAGCTGGATTTTACTCATATGCCCACAGTCAGGAGAATTAAATATCTCCTGGTTCTGGTGGATACAATGTCTGGGTGGGTTGAAGCCTTCCCCACCTCTAACAAGAGAGCCCAGACAGTCTCTAATATTCTTCTCCGAGAGATTATTCCTCGGTTTGGACTCCCAACTTCTCTTCAGTCAGATAACGGTCCAGACTTTACTTCTCAGATTTCTCAAAATCTGTCTAAAGCGCTTAGAATCCCCTGGAATTTTCACATACCGTAACATCCTCAGTCATCAGGTAAGGTAGAACGAACTAACCGCTCTTTAAAGGAAGCCCTCGTTAAGATGTCACAGGAGCTCCACCTCGACTGGGTAAGACTCCTGCCCCTAGCTCTTCTCCAGTTCCCAGCTCTTCCAAGGGGCCCCCTTCTCATTTCACCCTTTGAACTCATGTATGGGTGGCCGGTCTTAACCCCCGGCTTTTCATCGGGGACCTCTCCCCTTCCTGACCACCTGCTCACTCCCCTCCTTTTCCACTTACGTTCACTACTGTGGGACTTCACAGATCACTCACTACCTCGACCATGTGCTAATACATGTCCACCGCCGATTAAAATAGGAGATAAGGTATTACTCTCACCCCCGGGCCAGCGCCCTTCACCTCTTTCCCCTAAATGGCAGGGCCCTTTCAGAGTAATTCTTTTAACTCCCACAGCTGTCAAGCTTGAAGGAATTCCTCATTGGATTCACCTGTCACATCTTAAACTGTTTATCTCCACAGCTCAAGATAATCCTTCATACACGGTAACTCAGACGGGACCTTGTTCTCTTAAGTTCCAAAGGACGCCAGATTCAGTCCCCTCTACTACAGTCTAAGGAAAACAGTGGTCCCCACCCATCACTGTGTTAACACACCCTCCCTTCTTTAAATTCATAAATAACCATCTAGCTGTCGTTACAGGTACCATCATCAAATACGGAGTCAAGGACTCAGGTGGTAAGCAGATTCTCAATAAGGTTCTTTGACATAGCAGGTCAGCCGCTGACTGCAGCAGTGGCCCCTGAAATGTTAAGGAATATACGGCTGAAATCTATTTCTTTTAAGACACTCTCTTTAAGCTCCAGGATGCCAGCCCAACCCACCTAAACAAATCAAACACAAGCGGATCATTAACAGAATAAGTATCATTTAATTTTTTTTATCATTCTTAACCCCGGACATCCTAAGACTCCCTCACCCCGGATCTCCTCTCCCTCCCTTACCCCAGATCCCCCCCCCCTTTTTTAATTTTTCCTTTTACTAATGCAACTTTTGCCTTCCAGCATCTTAATGATGACCCAGCTATTCAGGAAAAGCCAGACAGATTTCTTCAATCAGCCACCTCAGAGACAGCCAGGACTTCAAATGCCAGCGGTACAATCAGCCATCCCAGACACCAGCAACCTCGGACACCAGCGACCTCAGATGCCAGTGGGACATCGCCAGAATAATCGGACATTCCCTGGACCCCTCAACACCCAAAGCCAGCAGGAAGCAGCCATGAGAGACCGGACTACACCCCCATTCCCTACCCTTTAAGGTCCCCCAATTTTTTTTAATCAAACCAAAAGGGTGAAATGTTGTTCCTTTGCAAGACTACAGCTCCCAGTGTTCCGCTGGACTCCAGCAAACACAAACGCAGGACACATTTCCCAGAAGCCTTCGCATTCCCCGTTAAAAAGCAAAGGCCGCCACGAGTTCCTCCCTTCTTCTCTTTCCCCGCCTTTCCCATCGTGTTCGCACACCCCTTACCTGCCTGTTACCCCTCCCCCATTAAAGTGCACCCACATGGGACTGCTGCGTGTCTGTGTCTTCTTCCTTGCGTAACGTCTTTACCCTCTAACCCGCAGAATTAAGAACAACAAGTGCGGCGGGAAGATGTCTGCGCACTGCTGTAGGATGAGCTCCACTACCTGGTTCTGGAACACCATGGTCATGGGCATGCTGGCTTCCTCCATCTCAGGCCGCAGCAGCGTGGGCCCGAACACTATGGCCACATTTTGCACGGACATACGGTTCTGCTCGCCATGCTTGATCACCCTGCAGTGGGAACGGTGGGACCAAGAGCTCAGAGGCTGGGGAGTCTTTCAACAGGGGCCACAGCCACGACCAGCCCTCCCTTTTGGCCCTGGGACGTTTGGCGTGCTCACCGGCACAGGTGCTGGATGAGCAGTCGGAGCTTGTCGTGGTTGGGAGCGGGCAGCGTGCGCACCAGGTCACGTACACAGCGGCTGCGCTGGGCTGGGTCCTGCAGCTCTGTGTGAGGGAAGGAAACAGAGGTGACAGTCTGCTGGCTGTGACAAAGGCTGGCCAACCTCCCCACCCGTCCTCTCCCTAAGCCGCTCACTGATGGCTGCTATGAACTGGTGGAAGTGCGAGAAGGGGAAGAGGGGTTCTGGAAGCTGCCAGAAGAAGAGCTTCAATGCGCCCGTAATCACGTGGACGTCCTCCCAGCGCCCGTCATCCAGGTCCAGGCGCTCATCTGTGGTGGGGAGAGACCGGGGGAGGAGGCGGGTGTGGAGAGACCAGGGGTGGAGGGGGGTGGGGAGAAGCAGTCAGCATCCACTTGTGCTTTCAGCCCCCAGAGTAGGGACTGGGGAAGAACCTCACCGTGATCCACCTTATAGCGCAGTTTCTGGATGGTGGTCAGGTTCCCACTGATGCGGTACAGCCCGTCGATGTCCAGCCCTGAGGGAAGGGGAATGGCTGAGCCTGGAAGGGCTAGGGACCCTAGCAGTTTCTACTCAGGATCTCCTTGACCCTGTAATCCCCCAGGGGTCTCCGCCCTTTGCTCCTAGAAGCCGGCCATGGAGCTCTGCCTTGTCTGTGCATGCGTACATACCCCGAGCCTCGACAGTGTGGATGCATTGCTGCACGAAGCGTGGCACGGGACTCCTCTCGCGTTCTCACAATTGAGCCAGCGCACATCCAAACACCTGGTCTGGGGGAGAGATTGGTCAGCGCCGCCCAGACCCATGCCACCTGAGCCCGGATCCCGGCGAGTCGCAGGTACCTTTGATGTAGCCCTTTTCCCGCAAAGACTGCAGAGTGGGTCTTCTCTGTAGGAATTTACGGAGCTTGAGCCGGACCCTGCTCAAGTCGCTATCCAGGGCTCCAGGGCTCTGGGAAGGTGAGGCTGTCACAGACCGAACTCAGACGGTAGGTGGCAGTGATAGCATTGGCCCTAGATCCTCAGCCAGGGCATCACTTCACCCCCCCCCCCCCACCCCCGCCGAGGGGACTCTGGTTATCTCCCCACCTGACCCCATTTCACACCTGCATTCTGCTGCACATCCTCCTCCCGCCAGCTTCCTAGGCGCTCACTGGACCCGAAATCAGCACTGCTGGGCTCACCTTCCACCCCCTGGAGCTGGTCTGTGGACTAGAATCAGACAGCCTCAGAGAACCAAGGCCCCGGGTCAATTGGGGCCTCTCCCGAGCAGCTCTAGCCCGGAGACATCCCAGGAAGGTTAAAGTTCCGGAATCAACATCCACCTTCCTTGGCTGCAGAGTCCTCCGGGAGCTGTCAGGTCATTCTGCCCTCTCTCTTTCTTTCTTATCCAGGCTGTCTTCAGCAGCCTCCCAGTTCCTGACTTCTGCACAGTTTTCAGTCAAATCTCCACATCCCGCTAGACTGGCTCTCTCTCATAAACTCACTGTACCATTGCTGATCGCACCAGTACCTCCTGCATCTGGATTCCTGCTGTATTAGGACAAACAAAATCTGGACCCAGCGCTAACTCATATGAAATCAAGAATCAAACACTATGAGGTCATTTCCATCTAAATAGTTGTGGATTTTGCTTGTCACAGCTGGGGACCAGACTCAGGACCATTTGCATACTGGGCAAGTCCTCTGTCACTAAGCTATATAGTCACAATGCATGATTGACACTTCCAGGGCTATGGCTCAACGTTTGGCAGGGCACTTGTCTAGCAGACACGAGGCCTTGAATTCAATCTGTTGACCCTTCATCTTCCAGTTTGAGCTGTCACCCCTGCCTGAGTCTGGTTCTCGGGGCACTTATGTACTTTTCCACCTGCCTTATAATGAGAAGCTCCTTCAGGTTGCGGCTGTGCCCTCCTGTGGAATCCTGCAAGACCAGCCCAGAGCGGGAGTCACGTGCCTCTGGACAGCCCCTCTCACCAGCAGATGGGCTGCTTTTGCAGAAACGGCACCATTCCATTGGTGTCATAGGTTCTGGGTGCATAGCTTGGGGTCCTGCATAAAAGGCCCAAGTCCCTGTCAGTCAGCCCTGGAGGTCCCAGGCTCTACCTACCAGCTCCTCAATGCCTTTGGCTATGGCCTTGTGCCAGGTGCTGATGATGGCCTCCGAGTCATGCTGGATCAGGTATTCTGAGCCATCTCGGCTTCGCAGCTGAAGGGACACAAGCCAGTCAGTTACCCCTGCTCCCTGGGTCTGTCTTGGGAGTAGGCTTGGAGTGTGTGTGTGTGTGTGTGTGTGTGTGTGTGTGTGTGTGTGTGTTGAGAGGGAGGCGACCTGTCCCTCCCCAAGAGACTCAGAGCCTAATAGAGCAAAGGCATCAAGCCAGATCCAAGTCTTCCTCTTTGTTTAATGCTGTGGCGACAATGTTTGTGACAGGCAGATTAAGTGGGGTCACTTTCTTTGGGAGCACATAGCCAGTAGTGACTGGTCAGAGCTCTGCCGGGCTCCTTGCTGCCTGATGCAGAACACAGCAGGCCTCCCCCAGGGCATTGGCAAAGTGATAGAAAATTCCTGTGGGAGTCTGGCTGCTGGAATGGCAATGAAAAGGAAAAAAAAAAAAACTACAGGGAGTAGAAATAGATCGTGATTGGCTGATTCTAAACACAGAGTTGTCCCAGCTGCAATGCCTAGCTTTGGAAGTACGTATCAATCTAGCCCTTTGGTCCAGAGTGAGACAGAACCTGGCTCAGATGGTGGGGGATGACTTCTAGAGTCAGAGAAAACGGTTTTTGGTTGCTCTCCTTTTAAAATTATAACTCAGAGGCCGGAGAGATGGCTCAGTCAGCTGTTAAGAACACTTCTTGCTCTTGCAGAGAACCTGGGTTCAGTGCCCAGCGCCCATAAGGAGGCTCACAACCATCCAGTTCCAACACCAGTTCTAGGGAATCCAATTCCCTTTTCTGTGGAGTACCAGGCACACATGTGGTGCACATGCATACATATATACACACATACACGGAGGCAAAACATTCGCACATTTAAATAAATATAGACCTGAATAAAGCTTGGAAAATCATCAAAAATGAAGCATGCAAGCTCCCTGCAGAATGTCTGGATTGTGTGTATGACTTTCTTCATAATAAGCTATCAGAAGCAGACCCAAGGTGCTGGCTAGCTTCCATGGAGCTCTTTGGAAGGGCACATATCTCTCTAGAGCCCAGGTTCATAAAGTTACACATTAGAAAGTTCTTTAAGAACCAAGAGTTAGGGGCTGGAGAGATGGCTCAGAGGTTAAGAGCACTGACTGCTCTTCCAGAGGTCCTGAGTTCAATTTCCAGCAACCACATGGTGGCTCACAACCATCTGTAATGAGGTCTGGTGCCATCTTCTGGCCAGCAACCATATAGACAGACAGAACACTGTGTACATAATAAATAAATCTTTAAAAAAAAAAAAAGAACCAAGAGTTAGGACAGTTTGGATTCCCAGGAACCTAGAGAGGACCCTCCCCCTAACAGGAAAGATCTATGGGATCAATCGCTGTCCCTTTTCTCACTTGCTGCCTGGAGAAATAGATCTAAGTTTCCCTCAGAGACCACCAGAGCATCACCTATTCATGGTTTGCTCCTAGCTCCTCCCCATCCTGGACCATCCCTAACTTGTTTTTGACAGATACTGGCTACTTTTTTTTTTTTTTGGTGGTGGTGGTGGATTTTACCAGTTCACTGTCAAAGGGTTTTTTTGTGCATGTGTGTATGTGTGTGCATGCATGTGTGTATTGTGTGCACGCATGTGTAGGCGGAAGCCAGAGTTCAAACCTGGGTGTTATTCCTCAGGTGTTGTCTACTTTGTTGTTGTTTTATGACAGGGTCTCCTGCTGACTTGGAATCCAACATTTAGGTTAGATTGGGTGGCCAGCAGGCCCCAGGGAATCCATGTCTGTTTTCCGTGCCATGGGATTACAAGCCTGTGCCACCAACCAGGCTCCTGAGTCTGTGTGACAAGTACTTCACTCACTAAGCCATCTCCTCTGCCCCTCACTGTCTGTGCTTTTCTGGAGTTCTGCCTCACTGCTCTTAGGGACGGTCACCCCCGCCCCCCCCCCCGTGCCCCAACAGTGAAGGGCGTGGTATTATGGGGCCTTTGCCAGAGTACTCTTTTTCTACCTGCTGGGAAACCAGACCAACTTGTCACTAGTCTATTCATTGGGGACCCAATAAAAACTGGAGTCTGGGCTCTGGTCAGTGAAAGCAGGTCGCTGGCTCAGCCCATCACAGTGAGTGGCTAGACTCAGTTCTCAGTCTCAGACTGGTGGCTGAGAGAGGGTCCCTCCGGGGATGGCAGTTTCATCTCCCAGAGACCTGGTTCTTACCCTCAGTGGCAAGGGCTATGAACTCTATACCCAGAGTGGGGACTTTCGGACAACACGATGAACACTGAACCCAAGATGGGGCAGCCTTGACTTTGAGTCTTGAGCACTCCAGCCCCACTTTCTGCAGGACCCCATTCCTGGGCCCTGTCTGCAGTGGGATTTAGGGGCCCCTTCCCCCAATCCCACCACTCACCTCTAACACATTCTTCTTGCTGGATTTGTCTTTGGGGTCCCAATCGAGAGAGGCCCCCTTCAGTTCGACCATGTACTCCGGGGTGGAGAGCTTGGAAGGATGCCTCTGTGGAGAAGGAAGGAATGGAGGAGGCAAAATTACAAGGGGCATCCAGCCAGATGGGCTTGCTAAAATACGTGGACCAATACACCAGGCTCCTAGAGCATCTTTGTCCTAGGACCTGCTAGCCAGCAGAAAGGAAAAGAAGAAGGAGCCCAACCCCATTTTGTGAGCAGGTATGCCAGGCCCCAGCCTCCCAGCTCTCCAGACTGGAGCTGTCTATCACCAAGGACCCTGTTCTGCAGGCCCCAGTAGCTGGAGTGTATGTACTGTGGCGAACCTGCCAGCATTGTCCCTCTTTGCCACTATCCAGCTACTTTGGTACTTGGGAACCCATCTTCTAAACCAGCCTTTCCGGGCTGGAGAGATGGCTCAGTGGTTAGGCGCATTACCTGCTCTTCCAAGGGTCCTGAGTTCAATTCTCAGCAACCACATGGTGGCTCACAACCATCTGTAATGAGGTCTGGTGCCCTCTTCTGGCCTGCAGGCACACACACAGACAGGATATTGTAAAATAAATAAATAAATAAGTGTTTTTTAAAAAAGATGTTAAACCAGCCTTTTCTAAGCCAGCTCAGAAAACAAGAGCAGAAGGTCTCCCTTGCTCAGTGACAGGTCTCACCAGGCCACCCGCAGCTGAGGTTTTCGAGTCCTTGAAGAAGGTCAGGACGCCGCCTTTCAGCACCGTCCAGGAGGCGCTCCAGTGTTTCTTCCTGAGGACAGAGGGAGGTGGGGGTGGGCGGGGTTGAGATCTAGAGGACTCACCCCCACAGAATTGGATTCCCACCACATAATAGATGGCAGGCAAGGAACCTTAGGTGCCTCAGTTTCCTCACAGGACTTTGCATGGTCACCACACCACGAGGATTAGTAAGAGCGTGGCATAAGGGAGATTAGCACTTGGGGAACTGGATCATCGCGGCCCACTCTGCCACGGTTGGGGTCTGGACAGGCCCTCACCGAAGTCTCTTCCCCTTGTCCACTGTTTTGGTACGGTGGAGCACACCGGCCTTGTCCAGGGTCTTGATCTAAGAGAACGAGGGGAAGGGGAAATGGTTATTGTAACGGCGTAAACGAATGCAGACAGATTGTAAATATATATATATATATATATATATATATATATATATATATAGCTTGAATGTAGAAATAGACTTACAAAACCACCGTTCCCGCGGAGACCAGAAAAGCAGAAGCAATGGCTGGGAGACCAGGAAAGCAAAAGAGAGAGCTCGGAGCACTCTCGCCAAATTTATAGGCAGACATTAGCCCGAGGCGAACACGCCCCCCAAGAGGCGGGACTTATCCCTACATCTCCCCTTTTTGTCTAAATAAGACAGAACCAAACCAAATACAACTATATACAATAACAACAAATAATAAATATAACAAACAATATTGAGAACAAAAGCTTTGCTAAACATTCTATCTCAAGGAATCCAAATAATGTAGAGAGTAACTACAATTATATAAACTTCAACTCTGTCAAAGATCTGAGAAGGGAATAAACACTACTCAACAAACGAGATATATCCAAAATGTGCAACAATTGACAGAGACAACTGACTACCTGGGCAATCACCCAAAGTCTCGTTTGCAACGTTGAGTCACCCAGTTTTGGCTAAGGCCTAACATAACTGACATACCATTATTAAAGGCAAGGAACTTTTCAAAACTATCTTACCCTGTCTTGGCAGGATATGACAGTCCTGTTTTATCCATTGATGCACGCTCTGTATCTGTGTCAGTGGTTGAGGTATGGGCATTTCTTTGCCCAAAGGCCAGTTCTGCCAAATAGAAAGGCTCCAGATGGAGTGTCTTTGGTGCTCAACATTCTCTCAGGAAAAGAGCGGTGTTGCCAGGAGCAATTGTGTCTCCCTATCACGAAACTCTGAGTTAGATTAAAGGCCATTTTCTACAGCTCTTTGAAGAGGTCGAAGATTATCTATCTATACTGAGTATAATCTCTATATATCTAGAGAACCTGATTAGTCTAATTATAAACGACAAACTTAGATGACTATTTATCTATATAATTCTCCATATCTATCTAACTTAAAGACTAAGACAATAAACAACTGTGTAACAAATGAGGATAATGACCTCCAAATATAAACACTGTACAAATATACATTGCAATATGGCAAATATATATCAATACACAAACACACAATACACAATAGAAACATGCATGCATACAATAGTCAATATAATTTAACTTTGTATCAATATACAAGAATCGATCCCAATATATTTGTCTAAAAGCAGTAACTCACAATTATAAATCTATTATCCCATCATTCCCTCTTTTTTTTTTTCAAAATGATCCCTGAGCTTATAAAATTCCTCCCCCAACCTCCCAACCCCTAAATGATGTCCCTAAACCCAGGGGTAAACTTTACTGGGAGAGGGGACGTCGTCCTCTAGAATTACTTCCAGCTGTCATGGGGGCGACGTTCCTTCTGGGGGATCCTGTGAAAGTAAAATGATGGTTAAATTTCAAGATCAATGTCTTTTAAAATTGCAAATAGTCTCTGAGTATTTTGTGGAGGTCTGGCCAGAATGTTGTACAAGATGTGCACCATTTCAGCTAACCAAGTTGGGATCATCTTGTGCTGGTATCCAAAACAGGTCTTGTAGTAGAGCTATCAGTATCATGATGTCATATCAACCAGGTAGAGTTGTTGTTCTGGGGCCCCATCTTCTTCCTGGAAACTTCAAATGTCACTTCAGGAAAAACTCATTGTTCATTGTGAAAAACTTAAACATTAATCATATTGACATATATAGACATACATATATATATTCAATGAAAGGCATGATAGATATATTCAATGAAAAGTATGATAGATATGAAGATGTTTTCTAAACTCTATTTCTTTCTGTCCCATATCATGGCTCTTGACATGAGACAGAAACTCCAGAAACTCTGGGTTTTTCTCTTACTAACAGGCTTGGAATTGGAGAGGGACTGAGCCAGAGTCCAACTTCAAAACCAGCTCTATATATTTATAAAGAAATGTTTAATAAGACATATAAATAAAAATTAATACTTACAAAATGTGTCCATCCATCAGTAATTAAATATTCAGGGTCCTTCAATTTCTTTGAAGATGAGTATTTTCCTGTGGAGATAAGAAAAGAACCCTGCCCCCAACCTATCTGTATTTCTTACCATCAGTATGCTCACCATCCTTGTGAATGAATTGCTATTTATCTTTTCCAAGTGGCTTCTCTTCTTCAAACCGAACCTTTATTAATTTTGACGGTATCCACAATTTTTCCTCACCTGTGGAGATAAAAGCAAAACCCCTTCCCCAACGTAGCACATCTCCTGGCTTCAATTGTGAGGTCAGCACATCCTTGAAATAAACTGGTTGATTTAGTTCAGTAGACTTTTCCATTATCCAATGTCTTTCTGCAGCCGTTGTCCCCTTCTCATTAGCGTTGAGAAAATTCAAGGTTAACAAATCATTATGTAACCTATTTCTGGGGGTGTTTTCCACCCCTTTCTGTTTGTTCAACATATCCTTTGTAGTTCGATTTGATCTTTCTATGACTGCTTGACCTGTAGAATTGTATGGTATACCTGTAACATGCTTGATATTGTAATAATCAAAAAACTGTTTCATTTTCCTAGAGACATAAGCAGGACCATTATCTGTCTTTATTTGTGTAGGTATACCCATGATAGCCATGACTTCTAATAAATGAGTGATTACTGAATCAGCTTTTTCTGAACTTAAAGCAGTTGCACACTGAAAGCCTGAATAAGTGTCAATGGTGTGATGAACATATTTTAATTTGCCAAATTCTGCAAAGTGGAACACATCCATCTGCCAGATTTCATTCCTTTGGGTGCCCTTTGGATTAGCCCCTGTAGGCAGTGGCGTTTGGTTATAGAAAGAGCAAGTAGGGCATTTCTTTACAATCTCCTTAGCTTGTTGCCATGTAATTGAAAACTCTTTCTTCAAACCTTTGCTATTAACATGATGTTTTTTATGAAATTCAGAGGCTTGTAGCACACTGCCAATCAATAATTGATCAATTTCTGCATTACCTTGTGCTAGAGGACCTGGCAGACCCGTATGGGATCGGATGTGTGTTATGTACATAGGGCAAAGCCTGTTCCTGATCAAATCTTGAACCTGGAGAAACAATGAGGTTAGTTCTGTATCATCAGGTAAAAAATCAGCAGTTTCAATATGTAAAATAACTCTTTCTGCGTATTGTGAATCAGTGACTATATTAATAGGTTCTTTAAAATCGCTTAGCACCATAAGAATGGCATATAATTCCGCCTTCTGGACAGAATTATAAGGACTTTGTTCCACCTTACCCAAGTCTTCTGATTTGTAACCTGCCTTTTCTGAATTATTGGCATCAGTATAGAATGTACGGGCTCCAGTTATTGGAGCATCACGAACGATTCGAGGAAGAATCCAAGAAGTTCTCTTTATGAAGTTAAGCCTCTTGCTTTTTGGATAGTTGTTATTAATGTCTCCCAAAAAATTAGCACAAGCTCTTTGCCATGGTTCATTATCTTCCCATAATTTCTTTAGTTCATCAGCAGTGAAAGGCACTATAATTTCTGCTGGGTCTATGCCTGCTAGTTGACAAAGTCTCAGCTTGCCTTTTATAATTAACTCAGAGACTTTTTCCACATAAGTTTTCAGTTTCTTACTTGGTTTATGTGGTAAAAAGATCCATTCCAAAATAATATCATCTCTCTGCATTAAAATTCCTGTAGGAGAAATTTTTGATGGTAGTATGACGAGAATACAATCGAGCTCTGGATTCACCCTGTCCACATGTGCCTGTTGTAATTTTTCCTCAATCATTGTCAGTTCCTTTTCTGCTTCAGCTGTTAATTCTCTGGGACCACTTAAATCTTTATCACCATCCAAGGTTTTGTTCAAATGAATTATTAAATCAGGTGTTATTCCAATAGCTGGTCGTAGACTGGAAATGTCTCCTAACAGTCTTTGAAAGTCATTAAGAGTCCGTAGGCGATCTCTCCTAATTTGTGCTTTTTGTGTCTTAATTTTTTGCAAACCTATTTTATAACCTAAATAATTAACAGAATCTCCCTTCTGAATCTTTTCAGGAGCGATTTGCAATCCCCATTTGGGTAAAAGTATCTTTATTTCTTCAAACAGTCTGTTCAAGGTATCCATGTTTGAATCGGATAACAAGATGTCGTCCATGTAATGGTATACTATAGATTTGGGAAATTTCTTGCGTATTATTTGCAATGGTTGGTTCACAAAATATTGGCACAGGGAGGGGCTATTTAACATACCCTGGGGGAGGACGGCCCAGTGGTACCTCTTCGAAGGTTGAGAATTGTTATAAGTAGGCACTGTGAAGGCAAATTTTTCTCTATCTTCTTTTTGCAAAGGTATAGTGAAAAACCAATCCTTTAAATCAATAACTATGAGAGGCCATCCTTTTGGTAATAAAGAGGGCAAAGGAATTCCAGATTGCAGAGGGCTCATAGGTTGAATAACCTTGTTGATGGCCCTGAGATCTGTCACCATCCTCCATTTACCTGATTTTTTCTTAACGACAAATACAGGAGAATTCCAAGGGCTGGTAGATTCTTCTATATGTCCAGCATCTAGTTGTTCTTGTACCAGCTGTTCTAAAGCCTGTAATTTTTCCTCAGCTAAGGGCCATTGCTTTGTCCATATTGGTTTCTCAGTCAACCATTTTAGAGGTAAGGCTGTTGGTATCTCTGAAGGGACATCAATTGCTTGTTCTTGCACAGCCCTAATGGCCAGTTTTCTCTGTTTGTAATATCTTTTAATATTATTCTCAGAAATATAGGCTCTAGAAGTAGCAGGAATGTTAATTTCGGTATTCCATTGTTGTAATAGGTCACGACCCCATAAATTCATTGCGATATTGGCTACATATGGCCTTAATTTTCCTATTTGTCCCTCTGGCCCTATACATTCAACGCATCTCGTGCTCTGCCTTACTCGAGATAAGGTTCCAATTCCCAGGAGCTGAACATTTACATTCT